CAGTCATTTGTTCATTTAAAAGGTGACTTCAGAGAGGCTCTTCTGAAGGGGACAGAAGGATACATGCATCATCATATGCTTCAGGGTTTGCTGGACATCAGTGCTGAGTACAGGGTGTCAGGACTGTCCCACCAGCTGTTTACCTGCCTGATCATGTTCTATGTGCAGAGATAAAAACCACCCAGATCCCAGACATCACTCAGCACATGACCCAGAGAATCCCATGGCAGGGAGGCCTGCACAAGAAGCGTGCAAGAAGCATGTGAAAGCCACGACAGGTGTTTCCTGTGTGAATGCCACAGATAACGGCATCTAGGACAGAATGCAAAGCAGCAGACAGGAGCTACTGTTTACACAATTCAGTGTTACTAACTGTAGCCTGGTGAACAGCACTGACTCCTGTTCTGTTCCTGCTGCCATAGCAACCCACAGCCCTGCCCTCCTTTCCTCTACCTTCTGTTTTCACATCTAGGGCAACAGCAAATTCCCCTTTGACTCCAGCCTCATAGCTGTGTAGAACTCTACCTCAGAGGTAGCTGGTTTCATTGGAGGAATTGTCCTTGTCCTGGTGTGCAGGCTGTGATTGTCCTTCTCTATAAATTCTGCAAACTGAAGAATGAAATGACCATTCTCTGTCACCAAACCCGTTATATTAATGAGGATGGGCAATTTGTTGGTGTAATTCATTGAAACTCATATATCATCTTTCAAGAAGACCCACTTAGAAGATGCTGGATGCATGTATAATATTTTGGAGTACCATCCTTGAAGGGAAAATCAGTTAAACCATTGCACTCAATTAGGAATATTTAAAATATTCTTCAGGGGTCCTTCTGGTTGTCTTCATTGCAAATGGCTTCACTGGGGGGATTCTTTGTTTTTCCCTTGGGGCCAAAGGCACCTTTCTGTAAGTGACAGAAAAAATCCTGCTCAGACAACCTCCTGACTCTTTGGCAGTATGCTGGATACTGTCAGTTGTCAACTTGACACACCTGGGAAGAGGAAACCTCATTTGGGGAATCACCTCTATCAACCAGCTTGGCCTGTGGCCCTGTCTGTGGGGCATTTTCTTGATTGTTGGGCAATGTTGGATGCCCAGCCCACTCTGGGTGGTGCCACCCCTGAACAGGTGGTCCTGGGTTGTATAAGAAAGCAGGCTGAGTACAGGCTAGGGGAACAAGCCAGTTAAGCAGCATACCTCTATGGTCTGTGCTTCAGCTCCTGCCCCAACTTGCCCCAGTGATGAACTGTGACCTGGAAGATGTAGGATAAAATAAACTCTTTCCTCCCTGAGTTGGTTTTGATCATAGTGTTTATCATAGCAATAGAATGTTAACTAGGACAGGCAGTTTAAGTTCAGTCACCTTAAAACCTGAAAGCTGCTTTCTTTTCATCCTAACTCAAGGTGTAATTTAGAGACCAGCATTAAGAAGAGTGTGACAGATGAGATCAACCCAGTAGATGTGGGTTGCCATTCCAGAAGTGGAATAACTTTATTAATTTAGAGTTAAGTGGTATCCTTGGAGTAAAAATTTGACCTTGTTAAGCTATCTTTTCTACAATGATGCCATACAGGGAATTGTATTCCAGGTTTAAAGAAATGGAAAGATATAAACCATGAATGTAACAGTTTATCATATTCATGAAACCTCTGTATTGTTGAAAAGACAAAGAACAGTGCCTTAAAAAAACAGACTGAAAGAAGGCCACGGTATAAAATGTTTGATTGATTGATTAGGAAGTAAATGTTGGTCTATGGGCATAACTGTTAATGTGAGCAGTTGTCCCCTTGTTTTTAGATAGCATATTTAACTAGCTATACATTGGTTATTGGTTTTAGTTTTTCCAGTGTTGAGAAACTTAAGCTAAAAATATTATGCTAAGCTGAAAGCCTTTATTGTATCTTTCAACATTTTTTCTTAGGGCTGCTGAAAAGAATAGAGATAAAATTATCTTTCCTTTGTACAGAAGAGAGTATCCCAGTACCATTGTATCTTGAAAGGACTTCTTCTCGGCTTTCCTGAATGTCCTAGTTTGTTCTTCATTGCTGTGACAAAACACTTTGACCACTACCAACTTGGGGAGGAAAGGGTTTATTTACCTTACATATTCTGGGTCACAGTTCATCCAGGAGCCCAGGGTAGGAACTCAGGGCAGGAACCTGGAGGCAGGAGCTGGAGCACAGGCCATGGAGGAATGCTGCTTACTGGCTTTTCCCCTGGCCCCTGCTCAGCCTGCTTTCTTATGCAACACAGGCCCACCTGCCCAGGGGTGGCACTACTCACAGTGGGCTGGGCCCTCCCACATCACTCATCAAGAAGATGCCCCTCAGACATGGCCACAGGCCAGTCCAATAGAGGCAATTCCCCAATTGAGGCTCCCTCAACCCAGGGGTGTCAAGTTGACACTAAAGCTATCCAGCATACTGAAAAATAACTTGTTTCTTTCATATGAGGCAAGAAGGAAACAAGTTTAGAACCATTTCCTAGTTCTCTCTCTCTCTCTCTCTCTCTCTCTCTCTCTTTCCTTCTTTATTGCATGTTTTGTGTGTGCATGTGTTCATGTGCATGGGGGGGTACATGCCCATACTGTGCACATGGGCCTGTGTGTGGAGGCGAGGCTGATGTAAGGTGTCTTCCTCTATTGCTCTCCAACCTTATTTTTTGAGATAGGAACTCTCACTAAACCCAGAGCACATTGATTCAGCAAGCCTCACTGTCTAGCAAGCCCCAGGGGTCCTCCTATCTCCACCTTCCCAATGCTGATGTTACAGCTGTACACCTCTCTGCACTTTATCAACTGCACCCCCACCCCCCACCCCAACCCTTCATTTACAAGCTCTTTAAGTTTTCAGAGGGCAAAGGTTACCTGTGTAATTTCAGAAAACCTTGGGATTTCTGAACAGTTTTGGTTTTAATTTTTTTAAAAAAAACTTCTGTTTTGCCCATTTCATTTTTTTTTATTGTTAAGATTTTATTTATTTCTGAGTGTACTGATGCATGCCTTTAATCCCAGCATGTGTGAAGCAGAGGCAGGTGAATCTCTACAAGACTGATGCCAGCCTGGTCTACATAGTGATTTCCAGGTCACCTGGGACTACAGAAGACCTGTCTCAAAAAGACCCCCCCAAAAGCAAAATATTTTATTATTTTTATGTGTACTGCTTGCTTGCATGCATGTAAGTGTACCATGTGTGTGAATTATCCAAGGAGACCAGAAGGGGATATAAGATCCCCTGGAACTGGAGTTATGGATGGTTGTGATCCACCATGCAGGTGCTAGGAAGTGAATCTCTGTCCTAGGAGCAGCAGGTGCTCTTAAATGCTAAGCCATGTCTCCAACCCTACAATAGGTTTTTAATGATGTGTGCTCTGGGTGAATAGATTGTGTTTTCTCTCTATTCCCCTCTGTTCTTTTGTTCTAAATTCCCATGGGATAATCATGCATATTTTTGTTTCTCTACCTTCTCATGAGGCACTAATTTCTTCTGGTTTTGAGTTACTCCTCCCTTGATGTTGGCACACTGACTTGGTTCAGTGGCTTTGATTTATTGGAAATGGGCTTTTGGTTTCCTGGGTAATTAAGGTTTTTGTGTTTTAGTTTCATTAGGGTAACAGAGTTTAATACTTAGTTTCCAAATTGCTTTGATTCACACATACACATACACATTCGTTTAATAAAAAAATTTAAATGTAACTTAAAAATTAAAAAAAAAGAAGTCTGTGGTCTCAAACACAAACTCTTCCTATTTTAGTCTCGCAAGTGCTGGTGTTACAGATGTGAGTCACCCCAGCTGGCCTTGTTTTTTTCTTTGACTTTGTTTTTTGGGTTGAAGAAATAGGGTCTCACTGCAAAGCCCAAGCTGGCCTTGAATGCACCATCCTCCTACCTCAGCCTCCTAAATGCTGGGATTACAGACATGCCACCATGCTCTACTTAGGCAATCTTATGGGGCATCATTCTATATGTCATCCATTGTTGACCAAAAACATTGTTATGAAGTGCATGATTGTTTACTCATGTAACCTGAGGGTCACATTAAAGCACATTTATTCCATAATATCACGAAACCAATGTGCTAGTGAGTTTGAGATCTTGTAAATAGAGTAATGTGATGAATGAAAACAAGAAGACAAAGAATACTTTCCCTCTAGGCAGCTTTGAAATAGTGAATTGGGGTTTTGACAATGTTTTATGTCCCCAGTCTTCCCATCCCATAATCCCCAATAGCATTGTATTGCTATAGCCCAATCCATCAGTGTGACACTCAGTAGGTATGAAGTGCACGTGTGTGTATATATATGTATGTATACATGTATGTATGCATGCATGCACATATCCACAGTGCTGGGGGTTAGATTCAGGGCCTCATGAATGGTGGAAAAGTGCTCTACCATGGAGTTGCTCCCCTAAACAAGTTCTTTGGTTTTATCTAGCCCCTCTTTATTTTAAGACTCAAACTCCAACTTCAGTCAAAACTTGCTTTGCTCGTTATAGAAATTTCAGATAGCTATTCATAGGACTATGATCTTTAATTAGGAATTTGTTAAGAGGAGCACAAGGGCATGAGGGGTGGTAACCTGTACCATCCTATGGAGCAGGCTTGCCCTGGCTGTTATCTTGAGAGATGGCCCTAAGACCTAAGAATTTTCCCTGTCTGCCCTGAATCTGTTCTGCTGATCACAAGTCTTTCCTATTTAGAAGTCCAGAAACTCTAAATTCGGCTACTAAAAGAAAAGATCAAGCTGGGCATGGTACTGCAAGCTGATAATCCCAGCTTTTGGGAGGCTGAGGTAGGAGGGATTGCCAGGAGTATGTGGTCAGCCTGGGCTACGTAGAGAGTTCCAGACCAGGCTAGCCCAGTTACAGAATAAGACCCTGTCACAGAAAACAAAGACCCTCTCGCAGAAAACAAAGAGAGGGGGTGTGGTAAAAAAGTAAACAACAAAACCAGTTTCTATGGCATTAGTGGAAACTTTGGGGGTAAGAAACAGAAGTTAACCCTTCAGTTTCCTTTCCCATTGGATCTCAACACTGGTCTTGGTGGTCATAAAAGAGGGAGAGTGCTGAAGCTGCCCTCATAGCCTTGTAGTCGTGTATAAGCATATGGGCTGGATTCAAACAGGGCTGCATTAAAAAAAAAAAAAAAGAAAGAAACAGTAGTTGTTCTTTGTATTTACAGGTCAGCTTTGGTAAAGGTATGAAAAGACTTTCAAAACATATATACTTTAACCCATCAACTTATCATTTGGGGGTTTGTCTCTGAGAAATAAGT